AATACGTGATAATCCTTATTAACAAGGTCTAAAAGTGTAGACAAAAAGCCCAACTGCAGCACTTTTCGCTGGCCATGCTCTCAATATGAGATTTCGCATTGTCGGGTAGAAATGGCGTTCTGCCTCTTTTATTAGCCTGGCACTCTGAATTTTGAGTCCCCTAGGTTATCCCCGCTACTGTACAACCACTCAACAACTTGGACCATCTGCAATGCAATAGCTCCAAATGTCAGGACGTACACAAGGTCTGCTGATAAATTTGTGCTAGCTTTGGATCCGCTTCTGCGTGATTTTTTCACACACACCTTCAAATAACATGTTGTCAGAAGTCTAGTAGTAGTCCGGAGTGTTACATTCGCTATTGAGCAACATAGTTGTTGTCGAAAGTTGCGAATACCTTTATTAATAAGATCGATAAAAGTTATCAAGCAAAGCAAAATCTGCATGCATGCATTAATTTAACACACACAAATCATTATCCTTCAGGAGCCAGTAGTCGGTCCAATGGAATTTTAAGGTACTGGGTGAATGCAATGAATGCAATCGAGCAAATATATTACGTATCGTTAGAAAGAGCACGCTTGTAAGCTCTTTCCAAACATTCTACTTGTTATCCCTAGTTATTTCCTGCAGAATCCTTGAACGACAAAGAAAACCCATGACTAACAACAAAACACGAATGAAGTGGTGGGAATTGAAAGGAAATTCTCTGGCCAAAGAAGCTTTGGTAAGTACTCTACCGGCTTTATGTGAGAAACCAGAACAGTTATGGCCAACCTTGAAGCGTAACGTGTATCGGGTAGCAAGGAGTTTACAGAGTCTCCCGAAGCCAGGAAGAGAATCGACAAAGAAACTTGGTGGTGGAATGATGAGGTTCAAAAGATTAAGGAAAAGAGCTAGGCGTACAAGCAATGGCGTAAGTCGAAATTGGAAAGCGATTGACAGTGGTACCTAAAAATGAAGCACGCTGCAAAAGCATGTGTCAAGGAAGCGAAGAAAGCATAGCGTGTAGAAGAGCTGTATAAGAAATTGGAATCTCGTGATGGAGAGCACGATGTATACCGAATAGCGCGGGGGAGGGCAGAGTCTGCAAAAGATATGGAACACCTCTACCATGTGAAGTGTCCCACCAGCTGACCATATGAAAGGACCAGTACCACTCATAACAGCAGAGGCAGTATGGCTTGCTCTAGCAAGGACAAAGGGCAAAGCTTCTGGTCCAGATGACATGACTAGCGATTTCTGGAAAGAATGCGGATGACTCGGTGCTTCATGGTTTGCAAGCCTCTTCAATCAGGTCATCAAAGCTAAGAGCAGCCTCATGATTAGTCAAAGAGCACAACAATTCCGATATGGAAAAATAAAGGCGACATCGCAGACTGTTCAACGTATCGATCAATCTAGCTAATGAGCCACACTCTGAAGATTTTCGAAAGAGTACTTGAAATACGACTTCGAGCGATCATAGAGTTGCCATCCAATCAGTGCGGATTTGTAAAGAGTATCGGTGCCGCTGACGCCATCCATACTGTACGGATAGTGATGGAGTATAGCGAAAAACCAAGAGAGCTGCATGTGGCTTTCCTTGATATGGAGAAAGCTTTCGACAAAGTATTGATGTCATATGGTGGGCACTGCGAAAGCATATGGTTCCAGATGTATACATCCAATGTATAGAAATGATCTATCTTGTAGCCACGAGCCATGCATAAACCGCGGCAGGACAGTCAAAACCATTCCGCATAAAGACCGGCGTGCATAGGGATCGGTGCTTTCTCCTCTACTCTTTATCACACCCATGATGCAGTGACGAAAGGTCTCAAGCGACAGCCTCCATGGGCTCTCCTGTATGTGGACGATGTGGTGTTGATGGCAGAAAACAGAAAAGAACTTGAATAAGAAGAGAGATGGAAGGACCAATTGGGGTCGTACGGCTCAAAGCTCAACACAAAGAATACAGAATAGTATATGGAAGTGGGAGGTCATTTAGAAACCATAAACATCGATGAGAAGCCATTCAAGAAAACGAGTACCTTCTCTA